AATGCGCTGCTTGGCACCACAATAACTCCACGCTGGATCCGAGTAGAGCTTGAAGCACACGTTCAGGTCTTTTGACTTTCTTTAATTCAAGTTGCTGCTTTGGTGAACCAGATATGATCCGAGTATTAATCTTAATCTTGACAGCCTCTCTTTGTTTGTGTTGTTTATTGTGTTGTTTTCCTACATCTCAGACTTTCCACAGTGATCGTACAACATCGAAAAAGTCTGTCCTCCCACACGCCGCCACGCCTGATCACGTCTCCACATGCTTCTCTCTGTATAATCTGGGATTTGGTTGCTGAAATTAGATATGAATCATGAACATCTGCTCAAACAGGCCGCTGTACACAAACGCTCGGAGTTCTTAATGCTCGAGCGCAGCAGGCAGCAAAGGCTGAGCATAAAGTCTCACTGAGGTAAAAGATGGTACAGTTTCAGTTTGCTGAGCCAAGAAAACAAATCAGTATTTTTTCACTTAATCTCAATTACGGGCTCAGAAGAGGCCTTTTAACTCATCACTTGTGGGTGAAAATGACACCGAGAAAGCGCGATGGAGTGGAGAGATAGCCTCTGTCGTTTTCCACGAGTGTCAGAGTGATGTTAATGACTTCACCCTCGTCTCTTTAAGGGCTGAGTGTTTGAACAGGAGTCGACGGCTGAGCGTAGGATGGAGAGGAGGCGGCGATGATGGAGGGTGAAGAGAACGAAGGGGAAAGAAAAAAAAAAAAAAAGGCTGATTTACAAAAGGGAGGCTTCTGTGACTCAAAGACTGAGTGGCTGCCGAGGTAGTAAACAAACCTGAGTGTGGAGGTGCATGGTAGGCGGCTGCTGTATCCATGGCGACTGCCGTTCACACTCGGATGCTTCCTCGCACAGCGAACACGTGCTCGCAGGAACATTTTTTCACAACCTTTCACTTCTGTCCATTGGGCTTCCCATGTATGACAGTAAAGGCTTCAAATAAAACCTCAATCTATAGGCTGAACCGAACCTACTAACCTTTAAGGAATAGTTCATGGTAAGATGAGAAGACTGATACCACTTTGCTGGCCTGGATGCTAAACACGAAGCTACAGATAGCCAGTAGCACCTCTAATGTACACAAATCAACATGCCGTAACACAATTTTTAGTAGGTTAGGTGAACTACAAAATAGATTAAACAATACAGTATATATATGTACTAATTTGTCATCTTTTTCAAGAGCCTGCCTGGCTGTTTCTCTCAACTTCCTGTCTTTGTGCTAAGCTAACTGGTTGCTAGTCGTCGCAGCAATACATATACTGTCTGTGAGTGTTAATAATCTTCTCATCTAACTCTAGAGTTTACATCCCGGTACTTAGAACTATTAATTTCATCTTTACCATAACAAGAAGACGGATATCACTTCCATATATTTAAAAAATGAGCTAGCATAGCAGTGAGCTAGCCTAGCTTAGGCCCGGACACATTAGCAAGCAGCTAATCTGGCCCTGGGTTACACACATTTAATTTAATTTGGATGTTTATTATGAAAAACACAAGTTAACATTATGTGTGGGACCAGTTCTCAACATTAGAGATTTTTGTAGGTCGCGTCCGGTCTTTGTGCTAAAGCTAAGCTAACTGGTTGCTAGTCGTCGCAGCAATACATATACTGTCTGTGAGTGTTAATAATCTCCTCATCTAACTCTAGAGTTTACATCCCGGTACTTAGAACTATTAATTTCATCTTTACCATAATAAGAAGATGGATATCACTTCCATATATTTAAAAAATGAGCTAGCATAGCAGTGAGCTAGCCTAGCTTAGGCCCGGAAACATTAGCAAGCAGCTAATCTGGCCCTGGGTTACACACAACTAATTTAATTTGCATGTTAATTATGAAAAACACAAGTTAACATTATGTGTGGGACCATTTCTCAACATTAGAGATTTTTGTAGGTTGTGCTAAGCTAATGTGTATTCTAATATGTTAGCATAGCAGTCAGTTAGCCTAGCAGAAGAAAGCTGTTAGTCTGGTTCTGGGTTACGTGCTTCAAATGATTCAAGGATTTGAAGGCTTTATTGTCAAATGCAGCAACAGCTGGTTGTCATGTGATGACACGATTAAATATCTGTGTCAGTTTTTAACCTATTTACAAAGTACATTGATTCAAACTCACTCATTACTCACATCTAGGCTGCTCGAACACACTGAGGTAACTGTCTTCAGCTAAGCTTTGTCTAAGCAGGATGAGTTTGTCCGGCTGTTGTGGAATTGCAGTTGTTCCAATTTCACTGTGAGTAGCCTTTAGATAAGAGGACTCATAACACCATTTTTCTCTTCAGTTGATATGAAGCTATAGCCACGACACAGTTGCACCTCTGTACCCGGCATGAATACTGGGTGGTAATAAAAAAAATAAAAATTAAAACATTAACCCTCCACCCTCACCCTCACCATTTCACATACAAGTCTTTATGCTAAACAAACTGTCTGCTGACGAGCTTGAAATTTAATCACACAGACTTTTGGATGGTTTCTATAAACAACTATGGTGTTCCTCAAGGCTCAATTTTAGGTCCTACATTTTTTTTTTTAAACTTTATAACAATGTCTACAGTCATGCTGATGACACACAACGGTTGCCTTGTTTTTTTCCCTTTTATACTACATTTGAGATTTCAAGCATTAGATGGCAGAATACTTTTCACAGTTCAGTCAGTACAAAACAAAAGTCTTGGTCTTTGGAACTGAAACTCAGACAAAAAAACTCAACTCTGGGGGTCACCTTTGACTTAGTTTTGAGCCTCACTTAGGCTAACTGAAAATGCTTTTTATAATTTAAGGTACATTTCCAGTGTGCGACTGGTTTTCGCTGAAGCAAATACAGATTTTATTCGTCTACTACATGCTTTTGTTGACTGTTGTAGCGCTCTGCTATCTGGCCTTTCTAAGAAGAATATATCTCAACTTCAGCAGCTTCAGAACTCAGCTTGTTGACTCAGACCTGACGGCAAGCACAGAATACAGCAGGTGTAGAATCTCTGCAGTGGCTACCTGTCTGCTTTAACATTGATTCTAAGATCCTTTTATCAAATATTTATAGCACTCCTCGTTCTCCACTTATTTATCAGATTTGCTTTTATCATTTGAACCCTTCAGAACCATCAGGTCTTCTGCTAGTGGCCTTTTAGTTTTGCCTTAAAGTACAACAAAACAGTGAAGCAGCCTTTTGTTTTTATGCTCTGTGTCTTATTTTCACATTTATTTTCTATGTTTGTCGATGCATTTCTACAATTCAATCTATGTGATGTATTGTGACACTTTATTTTTCTGTTGTTGTCCTATTTTACGATTGTAAATGTTTGACTTATCCTGCCTCTGGTGTTTCCTCCTTACATTTAATTATGCGTTTTATCAATTTATGACTTATTTTTGGCACATTCATTTACAACATTATGTCAGCTGGGAAGTGGGGTTACTGTTTTTATAGTTTTTGACTCTATTTCATTCTATTTTATCCAGTTTGTGCTGCATTCAATTTGAATGAAATGTGTTTTACAAAGAAAGTCTGATGTTTTTTTGGTTTCATTGCAACGTAGGCTCCTATATTTTGGAGCATGCTTAGTGTAAGCATGTCTTTTATGTTTGTGACCTTAATTCTGACTTGTAGCTGCTGTTTGTGACTGTGCAGGGCTGGAAAAAAAAAGCTGGAATATGCAGGATTGTAGAAATCAACAAGAGTAAAGTGAATTTTGGAAGCTTACAACCAGCACTGCTTTCTCTGAGAACAGCTGGAAGACGAATTCAAAAGAGAGCAAAACTAATTCACATCTAAAAACACACCATTCAGCTACTTCATCACATTTCCAAAAATGCCAAATCCAGTGAGGACTCACATACCTCGGCTACAATTCAGAAAGATGGTAAACACGCCCTTGAACCTGGAGGAAAATGAAGAAAAGCACTGAAAGACGCAGCAGAACAAACAGACCTGGTCCACTGACATGTTTAGAGGAGCCATCTGTTCACTATCACAGACTCCGCTGAAGCAAGATGAGTGTGAGGGCAAACATGCAGGCAGGTAGTCAGAAACAATCTCATGTTGACCAGATGTGATGATTGGAGGCGCTTTTAACAGACCGGTGACTGCCACGGATCTGTTGAGAGCTTGTTGTATTGATCCCTGTTAGAATTTTAAGAGACTTTCATTAAAAAAGAAATAAAAAAAACCCCTGGAATTCATTGCATACTGTCTCATCTATAAACGTTCTGCTTCTAAATTCAAGACCTGCCGCCATCCTCCCCTTTGACCTCTGCAAGGGTTAAAAATATTAATAAGCGGACAAGAACTGACACACATTCGTGCTCTCACGTCACGTTTTGCACCGAGCGTAACCTCGGAGAAAAATAAGTCATCCGGTCACCCACTTGTGAAGTGAAGCCACACATTAGACAGTCACTGCAACAGAGCTCATGAGCCAGTCTTCTTCTTTTTTTCCCAGCTTAGTAACAACATCCAGGCACATTTTCCACAGAGCAACAACAGCGACCGTCTGTTTCCAGGAAAGTTTTTATTCTTTACTTTTTACATACAGTACTTTGGATAAAAAACAAAAAACAAAACAGCATAAATACAAATATATATTCAACAACCAACTGCACAGCAAAAAATTCACTTAATGAGCATTTAAGGTGAAATAAATAAAGAATAAATAATCGACGATGCTGTGAAGAGGCGTCTTCTCTCAGTGGTAGTTTCGTTGTGTGATAGCAACTCTGACGTGTGCATTTCTTTAAATTCACGCCGCTGCCTTGCGTCTCTGTCGGAGGCAGACGTCGCCTGCAGCTCAAGTCTCTGTCAAGTTTCTTCTTACAGCCTCCTTTAGCTTCCACCTGGAAACCCCGCGGATCTGCGAGGAACCTCTGGAGATCTCTGGTCTTCGAAATAACTCCACAACCCGGCAAGAAACTCCTTGGGCTGAGGTATTTCTTCTCCCGTCTGAACCTTCGCTGTGCGTGCGTGAGCTTATGTCCCTTTTTGAGGAGTAATCACATTATGTCTGCCGCTCGCAGGAACAAAAAAAAAAAAGTCAGTTAGCCTCTCTTGGTCTTCCTCGTCAGCTCCAGGTACACTGAGGACTTGAGGAAGCGAGGGTAGCAGTCCTTCTCCATCAGGGTGTAGATTCTGGCTTGGGCCAGGTCGAAGCTGGACAGGGTGGGCTGCTCCACGTTCTCCTTGGTGATCGCTTTGGTCACGTGGTCAAGATTTACCTGCAGGGCAACGGAGGAAAAAGGACGTTTAATCACCGGCATTCAGCAGCGAGACCAGAGAGATGGAGGGAGCGTCCAGCTGTTTGATATTTACCTCTCGTGGCGCATCGGAGCCGATGAACTCGTCGTAGATTTTCTTGGCTTTGGCGTCGAGCTTGGACGGTTTGGTCGCCCTGTAGTCCTCACACGCCAGGTAGAAGGCAATGTTTTCCTCGCTGAACTCAGACACCAGGAAGGTTCTGAACAAACACAGTCCATCTGAAGACAGCAAAGAGAGAGAGAAGGGCAGCAGTTAACACCTGGTGGTCAGAACTTACTGGAATGATTTGCATTAAGTTCGATCCGGACAGTGGGACTTACTTTGGCTGGACAACAGTTTCTCGAATGACTCCTTCCACTTCAGGGGCTCATTGATATTCAACCTGCAATAAAACAATACAGTAAATAAAACAATAAAACCATCAGGGAAAAGTTCTGAAACAATCAACTTCACTAAAATGCTGAAAAAGAGAAAGTCTTACTTCAGTTTTTCACTTTTCTTGGCGATGGTGTGGTCCGACTTCTGTAGCAAACTTCCAAACAACGCTTTCAGCTCCTTCGCCCTGTTAAAATAACACAAGGAAACGTTAAAGATGAGACAGCTTGAGGGTAACAAACTCCACCTGATCAATCTGGAAGTAAGAAACTACGATAATCTCTTGCTCGAAATCTTCCAAATCCCTCTTTAAACTCACCTCTCCAGGCAGGTGATGGGCAGCGAGTCGAGTCCTCTGCACATGATGAGACGCTTCTGGTGGATTAGTTCCAAAGGTTTTCACAAGTGTTTGTCAAGTGCGTGTCTTCCTGTCCTCCCTGTTGTGAGTGACTGAGCTCTCAGCTGGTCTGCCGTCTGTGTGGGAGAGCAGCTCTTTTTATAGGGCAGCACTCTCCGTGACATCACGCCTCCCGGCCAATCAAGCGAGAGGTGTGGGAGGATGAGGAGGCTTCCCGACGCTCATTTTCCTCCAGACAACTTCCCCACAGCATGTGTGATAGATGCTGATTGAATTACTTCACGGCCCTTAAATGTCTTTGCGGTTAATCAGGGTGTGTGTGAGCGTTTGTTGGGAAGTGTTCATGTGTTTTAGTGCTTGTGAAGAGAACTGCAGGGACAGGAAATCCCCCAAAGTGGAAGCATTTTGACTCGCTTGCTGAGTTTAGGGGTTAAGAAGCCCTCATGTGGTTTATTGAAGTAGAAGCTGTAATTAAAAAATGTAAAAAAACACTCTGTTACTGTTGTTGATTTGGGTTAAAAAACATTAATCTCCCAAATATCGGCTTATTATAAGTTGATAAAGACCTTGTTTGTGATGTGGATTTTTAATTCAAAGCAGGAGGATTTTTGCCTTTACTTCAGATTTATTTTCATTAGAAACAATTTTAAGTAGATTTATTATCAGCTGAATATTCTTCAAGTATTCACATTATTTAAAAAATGATCAGAAGGTTACATTTTTTATACTAATCTTACAGCTGTATTGAAATATAACCTGCATTTTGCTGCTGTAACTGGTTGAGCTGTGCAAATTTCTACAACTTTTTACGATTACTACATCTGTTACAACACTAAAACAACTAAAACCTGAATGTTAACACACTGAAACAACTACAACCTGGATATTAACTCAGTAAAGCATTTAAAACCTGAATATTAAAATACTAAAACACCTAAAACATGATATTAAGGTAGTTAGTCTTCATTTTTACACCAAATCCTTTACATGTATAGATTGTAAGTACTAAACTAAAGCTGTCAAATAAACATAATATAAAGCACAGTTTTTACTAAGCATCAGTAATCAGCCAGTCCAATGTTTAATTTAATATTCCAGTATTTCAATAACTTTAATCAAGTATGGAGCATTTTTAAAAAATTATCTGTATTGTGATAAATGTATTTAAAGATGCCCATACCACCGTCTGACTGGTTACACATCACAGCTAATAGCCGACTACGACTAAAGGATAAACTCATTTACTAATAATCCCCGTTGGCATTTCTGTGGCTTCACTGCTGGTAAATAGTGTTTCATGGGTAAAACAAACCCCAGCTCTGGTGAGGAATCACGAACCAAACTCGCCGCAAGATTATCCCCAGTTGATCCATAACTGCTTCCATAAAAAGCTTTTGTTTTTTTCTAGATTTATTTTTGGTCCTTGTTGCGGCCAGTTTAATAGAAGAGAAGGAAAGGAAATGAATCAGGAATAATCCACTGCATCGCAACCATTCAGCCGTTTATGTCTTTAATTCATTAAGACCTCAAACAGCTATTTTCTCTATTATCATCCTCTGAGAACACTTCCTGCCAGAGTTTGTCACTTCAAGTCACATTTCTCTTGTTCTCTCTGTGCTTCTCTGGTTTGAAGTCGATGGAAAAACAAATATTTCAGATTTTTTTTTTGTTGAAATATTTAAATCAAAAGCACAGCTGTGGGCGTGCTACCTAAAAACGTCGATCAAACTGAACCCACGCGGTCCCGACGGAGCGCCTCGGCTGATTGTTCAACTTTTAATGAAGTCGAAAAAGAGAAAAAAACAAAAACAATCAGAATTAAAAATGAAAACAAAACAAGCCACACAGGAGTGTTCTAAAATACAAAAGCAGAATAAACTCTCGCACAAAAACAACAACTTTTAGTCCTTAATAATTGAAAGTCTTCTATTTACTTTCTCGTGTACCTCGTTATGGAGAGAATGGAGTTTGAACTTGGCAGGTAGAAAAATGTGTTTATGTGTCTGGACTGTCTTTTCCTATCATGACAAAGCAAAGGGAGCTGTGCTTATATTTAGCCCAAGGACCGAGCAAACGATTGTTATTTAATCTGATAACTTCTATATTTAGTCTGGACTGAGAGCCAGCTGACAGTAAACTCTGCCACTAATAGGCGATTTCACAGAATGCACAGGAAAGGGAAACTCTGATGGTGTCTGAGCCCGTTTCCTCCTGGAACAATGCTTCGCCTCTAACTGGCTGCTGTGGCCGACACACAACTCTGGGTCACTTGGGCCTGAAATAATGAGCTGCTCCCTCCAGTGAAACGCAATCTAGGAGTGCGACAGGCGGAGAGAGGAGCTTCTTGTAAAGGAAAAATGTTTAAAGGCTGTGGTGCTGCGTCGAGGAAGAGAGTCAGTAATTCATCTTTCTGAAAGTGTGGAATTAATTTAGCTGTGAGGAGAGAAGGTGAAAATCAATAAAGAAAGAGTTGATTTGAGGCAATATAAGGAGAAGATGCGAGCTAAATAACGCTTTAAAGGGCACTCTTACCAACAGCAATACTAGTATTTAATAAGTTTCTGAAAAACAGTCCAGGAGAAAAGACTGTTAGAGTGTTTTTCAGTCGTTTGTCACGAGGTTTGAGTCACGAAACTCACATTACGTCTAATTTTGGTGGTAAAATCTCACATAGAAACACAAAAGATGAACACATCTTTATCAGATTATGTGCTTTAAGGTACCACATAATGCATTTACAAGATAATCCTATGCAGCATACAGTATGTGTATTTACTTTTTAAGATCACATGAATGGACATCACATGTTGGGTGATATTACCACCGTAGTTCACATTTTATTTTTTCATATTTTAGTATTTTTGCTTATTTATTTTCATTTTATCATTATTTTTTATTATGTATTATTATATTTATATTATTAGTTATTATTATTTATATCATTTCTATTTATTTATTTTTATTAAAAATATATTTTATTTTCTTTATTTTTTTAATATTTTATTTTAAAATATTTGATTATTTGTACCTATTATTGTCATTATTAATTTTATTATTATTTGAAATATATCATTATTTATTATTTATATTAATTATATTTATATATTTTTAATTTTATTTTCTTCCATTAAAATAAAAAATATATATTCTTAAATATGTTTTTATTTACTTTATATTTTTCATTTTTTTATATTTTATTTTTAAATATTTCATTATTTTTACTTATTTATTGTCATTTTTTATTTTTATATTGTTTTATCATTATTTATATCAGACTATTATTTATCATTATTTATATTAATTAGATTTATTTATTTTTTTATTTTTCATTAAAATAAAAAATAATGTATTTTAAAAAATATATTTTTGTTTTCTATATATTTAAAAAAAAATCCTCTTTGCAATTTGATCAGATAAAATAGCAATAGCAAGAAATACAAAATGCATATCAAACAAGGTTCCTAAGAGGTAAAAAGTAGCTGCTCCTGAGTTCCTGTTTACAACTGACTTTTCTTTCTCTTTAAAGAGCTAACTTTACCCAGAAAGCCGACCTCCAGCCCGTCCATGCTTCGTCAAAAGCAGAACATTGTGAGTCTCAGCAGCACAGCAGGCTGAAGTTCAGAGCATGCACGTCTGTTTTCACTCCTGGGTCAGTACTTGTCGGGACATCGTGGCTTGGACGGCCAGTGGAGGCTTCTGGTTGTTTTTTCTTGAAGACACTCGACATGTTGTAAACATGTTTTCATTGGCTCGCCAGGACAAATTATGGTCCAGTCTTTGAGCCAAAACATGTTATTCTCATCCAGATGTGTTCTCTCCATTCATGGATGTAGCGTTTGATCACATTAAACTGACAGCCACATGGTGTCTTTTACTGGACTTCCCTTTATGCTTAAAATGCTTCAGATTCTTAAGTAACACTCGCGTTGTCTTAGGTAATAATAAGAAGAACAATTGCTGCTTTACTGTTTAAATGTCGTGTAGCTGCACATTTCTGCCCGCTGACATATTTCCTTCAAGAACCGTAACCCAGAAAACCGCATTGTTCCGTATTATCTCTGCTTTTCTATACAGACAACACACTCATTTGCATGACTCGCACTCAGGGACGCGAGCGGAGGCATAATTGCTATTATATCACCAAAAGAAAGCCCGTTATCCAACAGCAGAACAGTATCCTGATGTGTACTCCCGCCTACTGACCGGCGACACAGCCTCAACAACAGCAACAACGTTCAGCGTATGTGTCAGATGATTATTGATCTGGTTTTTTTTTGAGATGTAGGTTAAAGAAAAATGGCTCGAATGCAGAGACAATGCTCGCACACGCATTCGTACGGTACACGGAAATAATGGGCAGATGGAAAGTGGCACACAGATTTCGTAACAGCCTGTAGTGTGTTAACGCCGTTCGCAGTAATAAGTCCTCGATTCTGGCTCCAGAACTGGGTCATTTAAACAACATGACATTCAGTTCTATGGAGCCCGTCTTGCACTTCACCATTCATCTTCTACAATCAGCAAGTTTGGCCCAGAAATGTCTTTTTTTTATTTTATTTTTTTAAACGAACAAAAATATAGATATTTAAAGCCCTTTCAGTGTCTGACAAACAGAATACGATGTTTATTTCATGATGAGATGATAAAAACAGCGACTGTTTTATAAGAAAATATCAAGCCGCACTTTTTTTGGCTTGATGTTTTCATGCTTTTGTTTATTATTTCACAGTTTTAATACATTTTTAAAGAAGCACGCAAGTACATTTTAATACTGACAGTGATTAACAATGTATGATACGATTAGTTTTAACTATTTTGTTTCAGTTAAAAAGCTCTAAAAAAGAAAAAAAGTTAGAAACAGTGGATTTTTTAGCAGCTGAAGAGACGTTTTTTTCTTAAGAGTTGGTAGGAACTAAAAACAGCGATAACAGGAGATTGAATAACATTAATCAGAAACAAACAAATTAAAGTTCTTCCATCTCTACTAGATCAGAGCCATGTCAGCGTTAAACAATGATGCCAATCTTCAGAATCAGAATCAGAATCAGATTCAATGGCCTAGTCCGTACACAACATACAAGGAATTTGGTGTTGGCTGTTGGTGTCGC